AATATTCGAAGTACAAAAAATGAATTTTTGGATGGAAAAGTTAGTCATGTCATCATCTAATTAATGGAAGGACAAAATTAGCATTAAAAATTAAAATTTAAGAATAATTTTGATATTTTTTAAAGTTCAAGGATAAATTTGACATAAATTTAAAAGTTGAGAGATTAAATTAATATTTAAAAGTTGAGAGATTAAATTAGTATTTTAATCTTTTGTGTTTCATCCATTTTTCTCTCTTTGTTGGGCCATCATTTGTTGTCTCCAAAATTCTGTCCTTTTCCCCCACGCGTGCCCCTCGCTTTGAGCAAAGCGAGATACAAGGATTTTTTTAGTGATACACACTTCTACCGAGAATGCAAGTTGATGATGGCACACTGATTAAATAAAAGATAGATGTATGATCCTCTTGAAAGGAGTGAGAATTGCCACAAACCTTCTTACTTTTAACAAAATAAGTGGCACATTTTTATTTTTGCAATGCAGAGACAGCAATTTCTTTATGGTAAGCCTACTTTGTTTGTTACCACATGTGAGTGAACGAGAGATTTGAAGATAACAAGAACAAACAAGCTTTCTAACGCAAATTTACAATTTGAAGGTCAAGAACCATGTGATCCTAAGCTTTAGCTACAAACAACACAAGATGCTTCCTTTCTCGTTTTCATTTTCTTTAGAAATCTACCATCGTCATCCATAAACGATTGAGACTCAAATAACTTTATCAACTAAAACTAAAATGATGAAATTACAGTTTCTATAATATAAAACTAAAGTTAATACAACAGTATTGGAAATAATAAAGTGTTGGGACTTCAAAAGTAGACTCCACTCCACAGAAATTAGAAAACTAGCCAAAGTTTCTGCTGAAACATGTTATAGTTGCCAAGAAAGAGAGCATACAAACACTTATCTTGAAAATGATATAGTTACAATGTCATATAATATTATAAACTTACCATCATAATACCTGCAAATGACAGAAATCAAATAAACATTTCTATTTTGTCATATTGCACAGGCAATATGAGCTACCCATTTGCATTCTTCACAGACGTAAACCCAGTTCTCTAGGTTTCTGCCATTGTTACAAACATTACATTGGGAATCTTCATAATCAAGATCATCCTCCCCAAGTCCATAGTAAAGAGCAAGAAGATGTATGTGGCGTATGCTCTTAAGAACATGCGGTAACAAAACACAACTGATGTGAAGATTAAAGTTGCAGTCAACACATCGGTAGCTGATACACTCACCTAACTCACCACAGCCACAGCATGCATACTTGTAATTTTGGGCGTGTGGCATGATGATGAGACTCAGAGGATGTGCATGAGATTTGTGTTGAAGAACGATTGGCAGATGTCCAAGTTTCATGTTGGTCTGAAACAGACAATGATGGCAATCTTCGGAGAAGTCGCTGTTGCTGACCTCACAGCTCTCGCACCTGTGCTGCTTTGAAAAATATTTATAATTAGGCTTATTCCCTTTGAGATATGTGGGGCAATTTTCGCGAAGACCGTCTAAACTGCTGGCTAACTCGGCACAGGATTTATGGAAATTGTGCTTATCACATTCAACACACTGATAACTGGGACCGGAAATGTCCTCCGAACAGCGTTTGCAATGGAGATTCCGATTCTGTTCATCCTTACCGTCAGTATAGAGTTTCAAAGCATGAAAATGGCACTTCAACTTAAGCAGCTCTCTGGCATCCAGCATCATTTTAACAAGTTTCTCAACGTTGAAGGGTGTTGAGGTGTCGACCGCGAGCTTGACAACCCCTCTAACATCTAAATCATCCCTTTCATCCTGGGTTTGACACTGGACTACCATTAAACTTGCGTCTGCTGACTGTGCCAGCTTCTCCAACTGATTAAAGTGGATTCGCTTATGGAGCGGGACGCTAATGACGACCCTGATCTCCATCTTGAGCTGGGTGGAGGCAACTTGACAGACAATGTTGAAGCACAAATCATCAAGTTGGGGTGTGGCTGCGCCAGAGGAGGATGGCAAGGATTGTTGAAGATTTGAGGCGATATCCTGATGATTAATGAAGGAGTATCTGAGGTGCTTAGCAAGTTCTACGGCTTCAATTGGATTACCTTTCACTGCTATGATCATCGGGAGGTTCTTTAATTCCCTCTTCAATTCCATTGCTTCTCTGCCTCCAGCTAGAGGTGGATGAAATTAGAAACAAACACGTTAACAATTTAACTTGACGAATTGAAATTGCTATCAATCATGGAAAAAACAAATGTTACATAAGGAATGTAAAGGACTGAAGAGAAACAGAAATCCTTAGTACTCAGTCTATTTCAAAATATTTTGTTTGAGAGTGTTAGAAACCTAATGGATCATTACTTTTCGTGTCTAATCTCTCCCCTAAATTTCTTCAAACTAAACATGCTATTAAATTGCATTTCAAACTCGCAACCCTATTTCTAGTTTAAACATTCTCCATTATAGTTCTTTACAACCCAGTTGATTTAATAAATGATATTACACCATTATTGTAAAAATGCTTCGAAAACAAACAATGAGCAATCGCTTGGTTTCGTAGATTATCCCATCGATGATTTGAGACCAAGATTTCATCATATATATGTTCGGTCGATTTTCGGTGAAAGGGATCGAAAACCAACGAACCAAAACCGAACTTAAAAACCAAATTTTTTGGTCAAGAATTTGGAGGAATGGATGTTGCTAAGGATCTGTTTGGGACTCAACACATCAGTACCAACAATCAAAAGTTGGGTATTTAACTGATAATTTCTAAGACTATTACTACAACGAACAGAAAAGCTTTTTCTCGGCAACCAAGCAGGAAGAAAAAAAAAA